CCCCCACCCCAATTTCTATTGTTTAGCCGTTTTTCAAATCCCCTGGTAAAATTGTGGGGCATGTCCAGATAACGACCGATCCACATACAGCAGCTGGCCATGTGGGGCTTTTTTTTGCAATTGTTTTGATACAAAGGAGCTGCGTGTTGGGATTTTGTAACCTTATATCTTTTGTAAGTGCGGTTTTTCTCCCAAGCAACCCGTTTAACCCAAACAGAATTTAGGAGGTCTTTAATCCCTTAATTTGTTGCGTATGGTGTGGGCTCCCCAATTCAATTCTAACTACTCAAGAAAGGTATTTCCGTTTTATTGTTGGTTCGTGGCCGGTCCACTTAGTGCAGAGTCCGCGTGTAGGATGTCTTCCGAGGTTTGGTCCCAACCAAGCACGATGCCTTAAGGCATCAGATGCTGTGCACGATATGGGGCGTACTGAACCATTACATTCAGATGCCTGTAACATGGCTCTTGATTCACGCAGCGTAGGTGGACCCCAAAGTAATCGATCAACATCAAGCTCAAATATAGTTGTTTGCCCCTCATTTCCATACCGATTAGAATTTAAACACTCAAAATCCCTTTTGCTTACTTGCACACTATAAACATCTATTTTCTGCCCATTTTTTGCCCGTCTTTGTCACGTACCTCCAAAGTAACAAAGTCTGAAGTTGGAAGCAAAACCAACATTGTAGAGAGGATTTTTTTTTTCGTTTTGCCTGGTTTTCCCTGACATTTCTCTGCTTGTGAATGGTGAGAAATATCATGAACGCTCTAATGAGTAAGTACCATGCAAGATTGAAACCGTAAGAATGAGGACGGAGAGTTTTGTTTGTGCCTTTTACGCTGGAAATGTGACGTCACTGTGCGTACAAATGCATTAGTGCAATGTAGAAAAAGTCAATTCGTACCCAAACGCACTCTTGTCCAGGTGTGTGAGCGTGCCATGTACGTGTATGCCATGCCAAAAATCCGGACTAGGGGCGGAAATTTGAATCTGCATGAAAAATGATGAGCCATATCAGACAAATGGCTCTCAATCTCGCCAAAAGGAACTGATGGATACAAACGATGTCTTCCAGACAGTATCACCGATAATCTGAGGGTATTTCGACAAAAGTTTAGTTTAAAGTTTAAAACTGGGCACTAAGTAAGGTGATGGGTCCCAATGAAAAACAAAGTGAGTTTCGAAAAGATGTTGTTCGTAAAAGTGATAAACTTTTTGTTCATAAGAGTTACTAGTCTTTCATGTGGCATCAAAGTTAATTGCAGGTAAACCCAATAATATTGTAAAAATTAGAAAAAAAGTTAGTAAAAAAACCCCAATAATTTTTCATAATTATCCTGTAAAATTGACATTTTCCACTTCTTTGATTCTTTTCCGAAGATCTTTCTTACCAGAAACTATTTGATATCATCATTCGATAGATTCTTGGCAATTTATTCCTACACGAGGCCTTCCGGGGAAATTGAAGATGCCTCACCGGGTCACCGCCAATATGCGTCGTCTACCAGAATCATTTTTCAGGCCGATGACCATCTTATACAAACTAAATGAATGCACAGTCTATGGGGACCGGGCATACATGCCTACTGATCATATTACAGGCATCAACAGCGTACACTGTAAAAAGGTTGGTCAATTTTAGGTTGATATTTTGCCTAATGTTGGTAAAAATATCAATTTAACAACCTTTGGGAAGTTCTTCTCAATATTTGGTCAATGTTTGACCAACAGTGAGGTTGCTTTAACTGAATAAGAAATGGCCAACACTGTAAATTATTGTTTTGACCAACTTTTCTTTTTTTTTTTCTTTTTTTTTTTTTTTTTTACAGTGTATGGCATTTGTTTCATTATCGGCGCACGGTGTGTATGAACAATGCAACATGCCCAAAAGCTTGGACCATGGATGCAGAGATTTACCCTAATTTTTGATGACTACCGTCAAGCTGCAACTGTCGGGATTGATTTTTGGGGAATATTTTAAATGAATTAAAGGGTCTTTTCACGATAACTTCCGGGTACCTGCACGGTTTCAACCCAATGGCAGGTGTATTTCAGGAGATATTGGGCTTTAAGGAGTGCACCTTTAACGTCACGTGGCTTGTCTCCTGACGACGTCATCATCACATCAGGTCAATATTCGTCTCTAACACTTCCCTTTATAGTTACATACGTTTCACACCAATGGGACATGTGCTTCAAGAGATATAGGGCTGTAAAGAGTGCACCATTAATATCACGACTGACGTTATATCATGACACGAGGTCATTTTTCTACTTAAACACTTGCCTCTCTAGTTATCTGCAAAGTTTCTACCAAATGGAACACGTACTTCAGGAAATACAGGGCTTTGATGCCGCCATCGTCACATCAGGTCAATGTTCGTCTAAAGCAATCCCCTTCTAAGATATCTGCAAGGTTTGAACCTAATCGGACATGTACTTCACGAGATATGTGGTGCCTTGAAGAGTGCAAATTTAATGTCACGTGACTTGTCATATGTTCACGTAATCATCACATCAGGACAATGTTTGTCAAAAGTAATCCCATATCAAGCCATATGGCCTATCAACACATATCAAGGACTATGTCTAATCTCTCTGCCCACAGAATTGAAAATCTTTGAAGCTCAGCCAAATCACAGAGTTTCACGAAGTAAAACTTCAAGCAAGTGCGAGTCAAATACTTGCAATCATCGTCTGATATTACACACGTAACAGTTAACAGTTGTTTCGCCTCAGGGCACTATGCGTCCCTTGGGTGTTGAAAACGTCATATCCCACACCACAGTGGTCAACAATTGTGCTGTCATACCTCTGTCTTAAGGAATTTATCCAAAGAAACAAGCTCTGAATTTCAGAAGATGATGGGCCTACTCTAAAACAGATGTAAACGTTAACGATATCGTTTGCAAATGCACTGTCCCCTCACTTTCGTTGACTTAAAAACTCTTATGCGAGACTAGTGCGGGTACCAGTGAGTACGTTTATTATTATCTGTATTACTATCATTGACTAAACAGGGAGACCCACAAGGTTGAGATTCGTAGATATCATTAGGCTGTTATCTACAAAGTGTGTTGCCCCCGCATATGCATACTATTCCACAAATTCCTCACTTAAACATGGGCCGGGTTAGACGTCCTCTGGAACACCGTCGATTTTTACACCTTTTTAATACCTCACAACGCTAATGTTGGTAAATGTTAGAAGCATTCAGATGATGTGCCAGCCGCAGCTTAAAACGATTTTTTTACATGTACACTTAATTAAGCCCTCTGTAAGATCAGTTTTATCTGTCTTGGATATCAAGTGTATTTTCGTCTTTTAATTTGTGTACGTTTCCGATGGATAATCTTTTGTTTTGTCTATATGTATTTTTTTCCATTCTTAACTATGCCAATAGTATAATGCCAGTCAAATTACATTGATGTGTGGAAATTTGTGCCAACTTCCCGCTTCCACCGTTAAAAAGGCAAACAACATGTGTTATGTCCAAACGGTGCGTTCCATTGACATTAGCCTCAATACATAGCCTGGAATAACTGAAATATTCCCCAAAGAAGGCATGAGTTGGTGTCTGCTTTCTCGAAGGCGCTTTTAACCTTTCACTGGGCCACTCCCCGCACGGAGTTGGTCTCTTTATTGAGCATCATCAGTCTGAAGATTGTTCAAATCCAGAGATTGCGGTGTCATCGGAAAAATGTTAGCCTATTTCTTACTTCCACTTACTTTCTTGCCGCTAGCGGGTGCCGCGCGAAGCACGGCATCCCGCTAGTTCACATTTAATTTGTGGTCTTCCAAGGGGCCCTGGGAAGTAAATTAAGTTAATATAAATAAATAGTAGGATTATTAATACGAAAGACACAATGTACTCCGTACGGGTGATTCACAATAGTGCGCCTCCAAGAGTTTGCAACGCGTTGACCAATCACAGTAAGCGATATCTGTCGACCCAATGCCCGTTTGGAAAGGGTCGACAGATTTCGCGCACTGTGATTGGTCAACGCGTTGCAGACTCTTGGGGGCGCACTATTGTGAATCGACTGTATCATATAATGGTGAAATTAGTTAAAATAAATAAAAGAGATAGAATTACAACTTAGTTCAATATACACAAGCAAACAAGGACAGGGACAAATCAAACCCACGAGGATTAAAATAATAATGAACAAACTACACGTAAAAGTAAATAAATAATTCTAAAATGCATTGGGAATAAAAATCAGAATAAAATCGTCTCAAAATATTACAATGAGGTAAAATTACAAGTACAGTAGGTATATACTTTATAAAGTCTAGTTAGCAGTCCCCGCATTACCTTACACGCTGCGGGGACGGGAACGAGTCTGTTATACAAGCGCAATCATTGATCGAATTCCCTGATAGCCTACATACAAACGTATAATGGGTACCACGCAAAAATGACTACAGGCCCAAAATTATTTGTTCTAGAAGACTTCCCGAAGCTCTCCCGTTTAAATTTCGCGCGCGTACGGCACGCGTGTGCACGCACGCGCCATCGGTAGAATGAGATGCATGTCTCAGTGTAAGTGTGATATGCGCCGTCGCCCTGTCATATCATGTGATAGTTCTGGGCCAATAAACGGACAGTATCTGAGACAGAGGTACGACATAGATGTTTGTTGCTTGTGAAACGAAACTGTGAGATAAATTTGAAAAGAATATTAAACCATGAGATGACCCCTGTGCTGGCTACTTATGCCACGTACATACACACAGATTCAGGAACAAAAATTATTCAATAGTTACGCTTCAAAATCGCTTCCAAATGTCACATACCTGACGTGAGAATGACCCTATAATGTGGTTAAATTATTATTGTGTGCATTTTCATGGGTACACAATTAATAGGACCATTTAAATACGAGTCAATAGGTTTGGACACAAGGGTGGGGCTTACAGAATAACAAAAAATGTACAGTAGCATGACAGGCTCGAGAATGCCGCTGCGTAAACTTGGTAGGCTACAAAAACTCACCTCTGCAAGCCTAACAATCCTGTCGACAGAGTTGCTTGCCTCAGCTTAGCTTGGCGTGAAGGTAATTTGATTTACATATATCATACGTGTACTGGTAAATGTCCAATTTGTACGCCTAACTAGAGGGTAAGCTGTTCAAAGTCTAATCAATGGGATAAAAAAAGGTGATTGGAGATTACATTTCCAGATTCCCATTGTCTGACATCCGGGCATTCCGTTGCATTTTGATGGTTGAAAGGTCTCCTGAGCTGGGTCTCGGTCTTCGCTTCATTGGAAATGTGTGGAGATGCGTAGACAATAGACCTAGCCGTAGCTGTGGAAGCCCGTTTCGGACGCGGCCTCTAATATTGGCATGTGTATGGAGTTCTTTCCAACCCTTTGACCTCCTCTGTCGATCGAAAAGAGTATTAATACATACTTGCAGGGCCCTGCTTACAAACTACGGGTCTATTCATCACGGCCCCGCACAGAGTGCAGCTGTAGCCGACATGTACATCAAAAGATCAGCTCTATTGCACTTGGGACTTGTTTAACCAATTGAAAGTGTACCCCTACACAGCATCAGGGGCGGATCCTGGAATTTTTCCGGGGGGGGGGAAAGTAAGGCTGGAGAATTGTTTTAATGCCTCTTTTTTGTGAAAAAAAATGGTGAAACATTACATGACACACATTGTCTACAATTTTATGGATGCACTTACTGTAGTTTAGTAATCTTTTATTATTTTGCCATTTTCTGTACTTTTTTGTAAGGGAGGGGTTGACCCCCCCGCCCTGAATCCACACCTGAAGATACATGTACAGTGTAGATGTACATGAAGCAAACTTTGACACAATGTAGAGATGCATGTGTGTTTCCACCATACCACACTGTAGGCTACAGTGAGGAAACATGTATCATCATGCTGACAACCCAATGATATCAAACAATTTGTGTGTGTGTGAGTTTGTTTCTGCATTCAATTGGGGACCTTGAACAATAGAGGACAATAAGGTCCCCGATTGACAGAGGGTCCCCGATTGACAACTGTGTACAAAACATATGGGTGGTCTTCTAAAAAGTTGAAGTACAAACAAAAGAGGAACAATAGGGGGTCCCCAGTTGCAGGCAAATACACACTTTTAGGTGTGTGGGGGGGTGGATTTAGAAAGCTCCTATTTTAATCTCCAATTTCTCATATCTTTGGCTATAGCTCTAAAAGGCAGATCAATCTGAAGTTCTGGAATGTTTTGCTGAAATTTGCCAGTAAGACATACAAACCAAAGTGAACACTTGAATATTTCTCACATGTTAACACATTTTTCATTCCATTAAAAACTTATTACCTGATTTTCTGCCATGTCGACAAATTTCAGGGTAGTTGTCTTTTAACAAGATACAGTTCATACCTGTGATATATATGCTTATCACATTTGAAAAGAGTGTTTCATGTACATGTACATTTATATGCATAATACGTAATGAACAATACTGCTGACATAAAGGGTGCACTCCACATCCTAATTCTACATTGAAATTTATCACACTTTCATTTGCCATGACAGCAGAATGGAATCACAAAGGTATTTGGTCACACAGGTACATTTTGTACTCGTACAACTTGTCGAGCTCTACTTTTAAAATAATAATTTCCATCTGAATACATTGCAGTGTTAAATGGCTTAAATGCAAGACTGTGACTTAAAATTGAGAACAACCTGAGATTGCCTTCTACTCGACTAAATGTGTATACTGTACACACAGTCCACATATACACTGTACACTGTACTACACGACCTTTATCCCTTACTAGGTGGCATCACATCTGTGATCTTGACGATGGAAACCAACACTTTCGCTAGCCTACAGACTTACATGTACATGACAGAGGTGTGGTGCAACAACCCTTTCCCTGAAACTGGCAACCACAAGGTTAACTGAAGTGATGAAGTTAACATGTTTAAAGGTTCAAAAGTGTGAAAGGTTTACACTGGTGGGTTTTTAACTGTCTAACACTATAATGCATGCAAGCTGCATCAAAAGATGTAAATTATTGATACATGTACATTGAAAAATATTACAAACACGTTTTTTTATTGTCAAATTACATGTAGTTGCTTTGATGAATGGACCTATAGTACACTGCATATACATGTACACATATGTAACGTTATTTACATGACTCTGATCTTTTAAATTACAATTATTATGCATGTATGCATTAATTAAACAGTGCAATTTACATGTAAATGTACTTACTCTTCACAGAGTACAAAAACGGTACATGTACCGGTAAGCTTTGAAAACTAAGAAGTCTGAAATGTACAAATGTATAAAATTGTCGCCGGCAAGCTATTAATTTCTCTTTACTTAAATTAAACACAGCGTACATAAACCAATAGCCCATGCATATGTACATGTACGTGCACATGTATGCTAGTGGAAGTGTACATGTACATATAGGCAGATTTTTAAACACATGCACATTCTATCACAGTGCAATGTGTGCAGAACTGCAGATGCACACCCACTGCTAGTACTGCTAACCAAACTCTGATAAATTTGACATACATGTGCATACATGTACAATACCGGTAAGCGTACCGACATGAACTGGTACCGACATGAACTGGTACCGACACTACATGTACATGAATGCATGGAAAATTAACCATAAAATAAAGTACTTATACATGAACCTACATGTACATGCACATCACATACCAATAACAGTACACACTGGTACATGTAGGTAATGACCTCCACTCAAGAAACAATTAATGAAAGGATGTTCACGATAAACTGAGTGTCACTGGTGCTACATGTAGACATACACTGTACATATCAATGTCAATGTGTGTTTGGTTTGGAGGAATCAAAACTTTTAAGCAAGTCATTGATTAGTTTCATTGAATTAAAAAGGTCCGTGGGGAAGTTTCAATTTGCAACAATGTTACAATTTTACAAGACAACGCATATAGCAATATATATGACAAGGAAAGCCAAACCAAGGCGCAGTAACATGTTTGCTGCCCCTAACTTTTCTTGGACAGCTGGGAGGCGTGTCTTCAGCGGTGCATTGACTCTCTCCCACATGGTGTTGATAGCATCCTTTGCTCCACTCCACTTCCCAGGTCCCATCAGGCGGTACTGGTAGGGTAAACAAGGCCCAAAGAAACAGCGGAGTGCCAGGGCTGGATCCGACCAGAACAACTTCCATAAATCCGGCTTGACTCCTATCTCAACAGCGATGCTGTCCATGTACTTGATCCAGTCCACTTGGATGGTGTGACGTTGAGATTTGATGTAACGTTTGCTCATGTCATCTTTGGCCTTCTTGATGGCAGCTTCCATCACTGGGCGGGGCGGCAGACGCGCTTGGTGTTTGAAGATGCGGGCAGCCCAACGACACTGGAGCTCAGAGATGGGGTGGATAGCTCCAATAGGCTGAACCAAGCCAATGGTGCATATCGTTGGGTGTTTGAGGTCAGTGGGAAAGACATACTTGTACAATGACACCTCATTCTTGACCACTTGGAACGAAGGGCAGTCCACAAAGGGATAGCTGAATGTGTATCCAGTTGCGAGAATCACGCAGTCAATGTCATTCTCAAATGTCCCATCCACGAACTCAACCCTAGTTTTCGTGAAGCGGGCCACGTTGGGCTTGACGGTAACTGCACCACTCAGGATTCGATTTGGCAGGTCATCGTTGACAAGGGGATGTGCCTGGAATGGGCTGTGCATTGGCTGCAGTCCATACTTGGAATGGTCAAATTTACTTTGCAGCTGCCACTTTGCCATAGTGTCTTTCAAACTTGTAGGAAACACGTTTAAGAATCGTGTCCCTACCACAATATCAATTGGATTGCCCTGAGGACCCACACGATTCAAAATCCAAGCTCCAGTCCTTGTACTCAGGAAAACCTGTAAGCCACAAACACAATTGCAACAAATGCTACTTGTGATGCTTGTAATGGCCAAATTTCAGACATTGATATTGCTCAAACTATTATAGAAAATTTTTAAAGCACATAAACAGATTAAGTTGCCTGGTCCACTTGCAGCTTTCTCCTGTGTCTAGAGAAATGTCAACTCCAAGTTGTCAAGCTGAAGCTGTTTGGTGACATTCTCTAGTATTCCAAATGACAAGGTCATTCATGTACAAAGAATGCTTGCATGTCAGCACATGGGTGTGCTGATAGAGCAGACCTCTCATGCCCATATTGCTGTTCCCAAATGACCTGGCTGAGTTTCATTTTAGGTACATGCTTCAACAATTAGGCCACAAAGTGCCACACTGGCTCTTGCTACTAAATGTACATGTATGTGCAAGTCAGTCAATGTTGAAATGAGGTCATGTTTTGGCACTTGTTACATGTACTCACAGAGCACTGTTTAGGGACACTCTAATAAATGTAAATTGGCAATTAAAAATACCCTTTTTTCACAAACCTGTGAACAAGAATTCTGTTTAGACGTATTTGTTTTTGAGCTGAACGATGGATTAGCCTATTAGAGGTATGAAGAAATAGGAGGGCACTATTTGGTTTTTGGTAAAATCTTGTTTGCTCCAATTTTACCCACTTCCAATGGGCTGAAATAGCGCCCTCCTATTGAGTCCGCCATACTTTTAACGGCTATGGTTCCCCCTCAAGTACCAGGCTCTGATGCGAGGGCAGAAAAGGAAGACAATGCTGTACAGTAAGGTCATTTATATATATGCGCTTACTCAAGGATGTATTTTTGCGTTGGGGAGATGTTAATTACAAATGTATATATAACAGGTTTTGCCCTTACCCAACGTATATTAATAAGCACTGCATGCTCAGTGCTTGTCCGAGAGCTTGTGAAAAAACCTCATAAGCTTACTCGGGTGGGACTCAAACCCACGACCTCCTGCTTAAAAAAATATTTCGCGGTACCCGCTGCTTTATTTGATTCGGACCGGCCAGCCGACCCCGGCAAGCTCGGTGGTCGAGTGGTTTAGACATCTGCACTAGTAAGCAGGAGGTCGTGGGTTCGAGTCCTACCCGAGTAAGCTTATGAGGATTTTTTCACAAGCTCTCGGACAAGCACTGAGCATGCAGTGCTGATTAATATACGTTGGGTAAGGGCAAAACCTGTTATATATAATACTCAAGGATGGTTGCACAGCGATGAACAATAACACAGGGACAGGTGCATGTGTTCCCTGGTCATGTAGTCACAAAAAATGAAGATGAAGATGAACAATGCTTGGCATGTTTAATACATGTACCACCCTATGATGCACCAGCTAATTGCTGGTACCATGCACATGTATACACAGTCCTGTATTGCTGACAGCTGATACATTATCATCATGATCATGACTACTCTGTGTTATCAGAAATGAATTTTTGTCGAAGCTTTCATTGGAAGCAAATGCAATACTCTGAGTGCATATTCACAGGAAACTTACATGTACAGTGTATAACATCAATAAAAAGCTGTTTTCGATTCAAAAGCGAATTTAATGGCTTATGTGCTCTTAATACAGCCCAGATATCCGAAATCTATAGAGAGGAAAGAGAAAAATGTGCATGCACAAAGATCTTATTCAGACATGTCAATCTAACCAAATACATGTACTTTATCTTAAGGATGGTTCTCCTGTGATGTAAAAAAGTTCTTTGAAAATTTCTTGCAATGTATGTTTAAGTCAGTGGTAGTGTATTTAGAACTATCAAAAATCCTTTTAAGTGGCATTTTAATAAATACACAAATATATCGTACATACTTTTGAAGAGATACGACTCAGTTCCACGGCTGCATCCACTCCAGAGTTACCAAAACCAATGACGACAACTCGTTTGTCGATCAAATGGTAAGGTGTTTTGTATTCGTGAGTGTGGGTTACTGTTCCTTGGAAGTCCTTGAGACCTGGAAAGTCAGGGATGTGAGGGGTTGTGTGATGACCGATACAGATCATCACAGCATCGAAGAGATCAGTGGTGCACTCCCCGCTGTCGCGATTCTTCGTGGTGACTTGCCACCACCCCGTTGTGTCATAATCGGCAGCCTGAGTGACTTTCTCGACTTCGGTGCGAAACTGGATGTGCCGTTTCAGATCGAAGTGGTCCACATAGCTCAAGAAGTACTTCTCGATGTAGGAGTGATGCATAAAGTTGGGGTACTCCTTGGGAATAGGGTAGTCGCTGTAGCACATCATCTCTTTGCTGGTGTTGATGATGGTGGACTTAAACACACAGCCCTGGCCATCTCGGTCCTCCCTATAAGCCCAGAGCCCACCGATTCGGTCTGATCTCTCAAAGCAGGTGACCTGGAGGCCCTCATCTAAGCAGCATTTGATGGCTGCTATGCCACTGGTACCAGCACCGATGATAGCTACCCTCTTGCTCATTCTGGCTTCTTTGACTTTCGTGGTCTCTCCACTCTACTACAATTAACAAAAGAAAAGGATTTAAAGAGATCACACCAAGAATTAGCATTTAAATGATCAGGGTTATGTGCACAAATGCAGCCGGATATGGGGCCTGCATTATTCGTGCCTGCTATCTGTAGCGCTACAAACCCTACACGACTGGTATCCTGGTTTTGTGTGTATCAATTATATTACCATCCAGGAACTGGGGAAGGGTGTGCACTAAGGATAACAAACAAAATGTACAGTAGCATGACTGACCCAAGACTGCAATACCAGTTGCATAAACTTGGTTTGAAGCTTACCTCTGCAAGCCTGACAAATGAAACCTATTGACAGAGTTGCTTGGTTTGACACGTACATGTACATGCATGTACTGTACTTGTGCAAGGATATATATGAACATGTCAAAATTTGTATTTCATAAGTCCTGTGATAAGCTGGTCAAAGTCTAACCTACCATGTGCATGTATGGGCCAAAATAGTGACAAATATATTTTTGTGGTCTGCGGGCACTCTATTACATTTCTACATAGCATCAGTACAGCATGCAACAGATGACAGCTTTTGGTCGACAATATGACCATTTGTTAACAACTTTGTTGGGGTATCAGAGGCCCAAACCTGGTCAGAAATACTAGGGCCCTACTCCATCAATCAACTAAAAGTGCTGAGTGTTTTCTACATATTTCCACTTCTAAATTTGACTTTTCAGGACGTGCTGTCACTTTTCTGCTGGTTGCTAAACCACTGGAAGAGGAAATTAGTGATGTTTATACATGCTATAGCAGTCTTACCCGTCTTCAACTTTTGCCACTGGATTCGGTGTGCAGCTTTAGCCTAAATGTACCTCCAGAACCATGTAACAGGCCGCAATTAACCCATGCACATGGCCATATGCACTGTTCTGATGGAAGTAGCCCACATGTACATGTGCCACGTGGCACATCAAAGATCAGCATCATCACATTTAGGGACCTGTCATGCTTGTTCTCTGGTTAAACCTTGACACGTTTAGGGTGTAAAGACTCTACACGTACATTGTATGCACAGGGCTGTACGTATGGTAAATGGCTTTCTTTTGAAATTTGTCTTCTTTCCGACAGAAATAAGACAAAGAGCTATTTACAGTAAGTCTACCCTTATTGCAAATGTATGTGTGTTTCCATTAATAATGTCCACACATACACAGTGTACAGGTACAGGGGGTGTTGCTCTATGCTGGAATACCTTTAATCACCACTGGCTTCCTGAATTATATGCCAAAGTCAAACCGTTGGAGTTTCAATAAATTGGACTTCACAATTTGTCAAAATCGATCCATTTTCGCTCCACACATGCACAACCGGTACCACCAAGATCACAAAACAGACTAGAACTTAAAAAAAAAAGTAGAAGTAGAAGCAGACCAGCAGAGGACGGCAAGATCTTTATGCAGAGATAATTGACAAAAAAGTACTGTTTCCTCAATGATTCAAAACCTAAGATGGAAATCTTTGGAGGAGTGTAGAGCCATCAGCAGACTCACTTTAATGTATAAATCCATCCATCAAGTACAGTGAACACCATGCTGATCATTACCGGGTTAAATATGAAAGAGAGGGGTTTACAACATGGAAAACATCTTTTACTGCCTTTTCCCATCAACCAGCAAAGTGAAATTCTCCTTCATTCCTCCATGTTCATACCCAGGACCCTTGTGCCTGTTTGGAATGGAATGATTTACCGGCCGAAATAAAGGAAGCTTCAAATATTGATACCTTCAAAACAAAACAGTATACATCATGAAGTATGTTATTGACATATCAACATTAATAAGGATTGAGGGAGACCCATCACAAGTAATAGACTTGGAGCCAGCTAGCCACCACGCACCTGCAAGTTAAAATATCCCATAGTGGAGGTTGTTTTGGTATTACATGTAGGAGAAGACAAACTTCGAATACGCGTGCCGAGACTTTGCTACCGCAATAACCCCATGGGTGAACATGGTCCTCTCAGATGCATGCATGAGTGGCCTGCACGTGGTCTGGGCACAAGACTTGTTAATCGTCGATCAGAGTGCCACCAACACCTTTCTGAGGGTACGCAAGCCTAATTGCATTGAAGACAAAGTAAAATTGACCACGTTTGCAGCCCTGGTGCGGGCAACCGAAGTCCCTCAGGCCTCTTAAACAAAAAAAGAGTGTTATGGGACCATTCAGCTTTCAATTGAGGTTCTATTTTAAGTAGGTTAACCTATGAAAATTTTAATTATCCACCAAAAACAAACTCACCCCCCAAAAAGTGAACGTTCCCAAGTCTGTCAGCAGCCTTTTTTAAAATGACATTCCTCCACTCTCAGAGGCTCTTGGGACGATTTTTCAGTATTATTTTTCTATGCCCTCGAATCTAGGGAGTTCATTCTGTGCCATTTTACACCATCCCACAATTGCTTGGGCGACGCAATCTCCTATTTTTCAAATAAATTTGTCGAGAGCTTCCGACTGGCGAAAATTTCCCTTGAATTGGGTAGTGCACCTTCTGAAGGTAGCCAGCAATTCGGGTCACGCCAGTAACAATAATCCATGCAGTAAAGGGAGGGGGGGCTGTAATTTTCCCTTCAGTGCAGTATGTCTTGTGCCCCGACTACATATGGGATGCTGCTACGGTTTCGTTAGAGGACCATGTTCCTCCTTAGAGTTATTGCGATAGAAAGAAAAAAACTCGGCACGCGTATTACGGGTGCATCTTTGTATTTAGGCCAGAAATGTGTCCGCCGAGCTCATGAATGAAAGTTATACACTCACAATATTCTATAATAGAGGGTCCTGAGAGCCATGGAAGTGGGGAATTGAAGACATATGGCACTGAACCTCTGGGCTGGACTCGGGGCTTCCACACGAATTCTGAGCAATTTGGATGCGATCGGGTCCAAAAGTGGCACTATTTGAGCTCTTTTGCAGAGGGATGCATTTTCAGAATGGCCACTTTCCCGGGCAGTGAAATTTCCTTCGTTTTAGGTCTGCTTTGGGTGAGAATTTCTCAAAAGTCATTGGTCAACCCACTAAAAATTGACAGGAAAATGAAAGAGGACATGTGGAACATCATTTTTCTGTGCAGCCTGAACACCTGTGAGAGTTTTGAGTATTTTAAAATATTTGTGAAGTATGGGGATTTATCACTGCTGTCTATGGGAATTTACTTGTAGGGGTGCACCCTTGACCAGTAAATCTGTTGCCATAGACAACAGTGATACATATCCCCACTTCAAAAAATCAGGAAAAATACAAGTTTCACAGGTGTTAAAGACACATATCAAATCAAAGTCCACTTCCTCATCTTTCATTTTCCTTTCAATTTTCAGGGGGTTGACCAATGATTTTCTGAGAAAGTTGCACCAGAAGCAGACCACCCCTAAAATGAAGAAAATGTCCCTGCCCAGAAAAGTAGGCCTCCATTTTGAAAAACCATCCTTCTGCAAAACGGCCAAATACATGTAGTGCTACTTTAGGACCCGACGGCACCTAAATTGCTCAGAAGTGGAAGCCCAGAGTCCGGCTTAGAGGTTCACTGAGTGCCATATATTTCTCCAATTCCTCAATTTCATGACCCTCAGGACTCTCTAATATAGAATATTTTGAGTGTGTAACTTTTATTAATGAGCTTGGCGGACATATTTTTGGCCTTTTCTGCACGGAAGCACCCTTTAGAAATACAAGCCGTAAAACAGTCCTGCCCCTGCATTTCCACCTTTTTAACAAACCACCCAATCCACATGCCACGAAAGGCTCTAATAGCAGAGAATTTGACGGCCTGCAAATCGTGATTTGGTCCGCGCAGGCAATTTTGGACATTTACTGGCCTGAAACCTGATATTTGAATGGGAGGAGGCGTCGTGAGTGTGTAGAGCGAAAATGATCCGATTTTTGACAGATTTTGAAGTCTGATATATCATTGAAACCCTAACGGTTTGACTTTGGCATATGAGGAAGCCAGTTGGTGCACCATGGTGGTGACAAAGGTATTTTTGTTGCGTCTTTGGAATTTTTGAGAACCGTTATCACTTTAGTCTATACTATATATAGTGTCGTGGAGCGTTGTATGAATGACTATGACCGATCCAGTCCAAAATTCGAAAAAGGGGAATGCAAACGCTCACTATAGAGCGAGAAAATAACATGAATGGCCCAGTTCAATGCAGTATTAAAAACTACATGTACATGCAGGGCAAATGGCCAAATTCACCCCCAGAACCGTAGAGTTCGACGTCCGCCCCGCAACCACGTCGGGGTAATAGGGGTGCATTCCACCTATTCAAGCCCCTTTGAAAACAGTGGAAAATCAGCATTTTTCATGGCACAATAACATTCAATCAACATCCCTGGGGTTTTGCAAACTAATGATAAATTGCGGGTTTTTCCTCATCTTTCGAATTCCTCCCCTTGTTTTGTGGGTTCACCAATTGCATTTTTTAATTATTCACACAAAACGAAACCATCCCTGAAAAGTGATAGTTCGGAAGTCCACATGCAGCCATTTTTCAAAAGGCGTCCCTCTAATTTTTTGGGGGGCACTGAGGGCCGTCTGTTGAACCGTATTTTTTATCCACTCTGCCCTTTAGATGGAAGCCCAAAGAACCAAAGAGTTGATCCTGGCAAAGATTTACACCATTTCACCACTTTGGGGCCAAACAATCTAGTTTTCCAAAGGAACTGTGGGGGTGGACTTTTCATGCTAATGAGCTGGGCAGAAATTGCCACTTGAATTAATGGAGTGCACCCTCAGAGAATTTACGCACAGTTGAAGATTTCCAGCCGTGAATTCTATGCTAATTTAACGTAGTAAATATGTGATTGGGAGGTCTTTTAAGACCGGCTCAGAAGAATGAACGCTGATAATGCCCGAGCCGCAGGCGTTTAGGACTGACCAAGCGCATATTTATTCCAATTCATTAATACCTTTTTGGTCAGAGAGTCATTTAATCATATAGCCTACAGTGTATAAATTTGCAACGATTTTGTTCAAGAATTTTTTCTTTTATTTTCCCAAACACTTCTGTCCATTTTATGGTATATTCCTTGTGCCAGTAGTCCTGAAGAATCTCCTAATATGGACTTGGTGCGCCGTGGTGCGTTCTGCGTGCCGCGGCACACATAGACTCTTGACTACAAGCATAAATGCATAGACTACCAGATCCCATTCAAAACTACATGAGCATTTCGTGATCTGCGCGGCGCCTGACTAAAATCAAAACTACGGGTGAATTCATCCCCGGTAAAGGTAATTTACGCACAGTTGAAGAATTCCAGCCTTACAATTCTATGAATTTCTATTCGTTTTTCGATTTTAAGAAAATCCTTTGGTTACTCAATCTGGCCTATGAGATTCAAAACAATGCGGTTGCAAGTGAAAAGAAGAGACAATAGTCCCGAAGAGCAAAACGTGAACGTATTTTGGGAGCGTCATGTAAACAAAAGCAGGCAATGTAAGTGCGTTGCGCGTAATGCGCATTGAACGCGCTCCAATCCACCGTTTCGCCCATTATTTGCCTATACTTTTCAAAATCACGGTTACATGAGCGAGACTGGTTGTCCATGCGTTTATATCAGTTTTCTTGACCAATCCGCCCTGAGTTGAAGTGCACGTTAATCGGCGAAAGAAAGACAGACGGCACCGTCGTTTTCCTCCGCATCGGCGTGCACGCAAGACCATATATTCCAGACTATTCCAACTTATTTCGCTGCGCGTGATCAGAGTGTCCCGCGTGAAGCACGTATAACTTCCGCATCCATGCGGCGAGTGCGTTCCACATGACTGTTAATTTCACTTAAAAACACGCTCTCTTTTGTTCCTGGGTGTCGTTCTACTTGGTGCACTGTTGTTGTTGTTTTGTTTGAACGGCCCTTTCAGCAACTCAGGCTATTTGCGCCAATAACTGTACGTTTATTCATACACTTTATTAATCAGCACCACATTACGGAGTTCGGAAGAGAGTCCAGTTTTAGGGGCAGGAGGAAACCGGAGTACTCGGAGAAAACCTGCGAGAGCGAGTATGGACTGGAAACCAAATGCACTTAAAGCTAGGCCAAGCCGGGACTCGAACCCGGGCCTCATTGGTACAAAGTGAGGAAAGAACCGCTACGCTAACCCGCTAACCTGCTCCCCCTCTTGATGAGCTTTTATTTTCTTTTGCTAAACGTTGCTTCTCTGTTCTTAAAAATGGATCAGTACATCCGTCATTCTTGGATTCTTGCACCGGCTGCGGATGGCCCGTACGTTCCTGAGTTTTCGTTGTGTACAGAGACTGCACGCGGACTTCAGTGGTATGGTGGTGCCTTGTTCCTCATGACTGTTGCTCTTATTGCTTGTGGGACTAGACTTATTTCTCTCCTTGCTTGGCAGGAACAGAAACGCAACTACGACCTGTGTGGATCAGTGGGATAAATCATCAAAATGCACCCACTGCACGATGGAATCATTTGTGCACACGGTTGGCTCCAAGAACACTAAGGATGTACTTATGATGGAAGGGGGCTGTACTGAGAAACGGCGGTCTCGTGTGCACAGGAAAAATCACGATTATTAAGTCCTTTTACAGCGCACTAAAAATCCGGCTTATATTAAAAACTAATAGCAAAACAACATTATGGATTTTCTGAAGAAAAAACTGAACAAAGGCAGAAAACCTGAGAGAAAATGATCATCAAAATCGCACCCCTGTATATTTTAAATGGCCCGCTCACACTTCCTACCGCCAAGGCCATTTGTGCGCATGCGTGCATAATTATGAATTTATCGGTGGAAATGGCTTTAATTCAGGCTTCCATGGATAAGAAAATACGTTCATAAACAAATGGGCTAGATCTCGCTTAAGTCAGTCAGAGGTCATGCTTTTCATCACCTCAAATCCATTATACAGCCACACATCTTTTCCACTGATGGTGTACATCTGTCCCTAGAAGGCAATCTGCGCTTTTGTCTAACTTTGTGCAGAGTGTCGACCAGAACTATTTAGTTCTAACATGCTGATCCTTTCAACACTTTATCTAATCAACACATGCCCATCTTTCCCCAGGGCAGCGTGTGGCGCGAGTGACTTTTTTTTTAAACAAAGTTTTTGCTCCATACATTAGATCTTAATGGCCAGTAAAGTTATTTAAGTTACCTTATGAGTACAAGGAAACAGATTAGATAGATATTTCACTTTGTAGACAGGAACTACAATGGCGCCCTGGAGGTTCACCAGGCTGGGCCTGTCTTCCCGTAAGGTTTAGCATTAAGCGGGGGAACTCTTTGTGCCTTGATATTTAACAGTTCATTACAGCTTCCTTAATACGGGCGTTTCACAATAGTGCGCCTCCAAGAGGTTCGAACGCGTTAGCCAATCACAATGCGCGAAATTTGTCGACCCAAAGTGCGTTTGGAAAGGGTCGACCAATCTTGCGCGTTGTGATTGACCAACGCGTTGCAAACTCTTGGAGGCGCACTATTGTGAATCGCCCGTATTGCTGTTAAAATGAAATTTTCATTTTTGGTAGAGTCTGTGGTCTGGTTTTGCCAATTTAGATTTCCAGGGTTGGGTGTGCACTTTAATAATGATAAAATATCAAACCAATCTACGAGATCTTGCGTGCCGTAGTTCATGGTCTGGTGTGCGTGTGTTCAACTTTGGTAGGTGCGGTGTGCCCTATGGGCCCAGGGGGTCTGGTGTACCCCACATAAATACAATGTTTTTGTCCAATGAAGAAAATAGCTGTAGAAAAAATCATGAACTTAACTTTGTGGGTTTTTGTGTCTTCATAGGAGACCGATAATAACCATGTAATTAATAACTTAATAGGTCGGACACTCAGACTATACATACAGCATCTATAAACTTACGGACACCCTATTGGTGACTGTTACCATAGCGCTCGATAACGAGTCACTTCACGAAGAGCATGATTGACTGTTACTATAGCAAGAATAAAGTAGTTATATCACGTGCAAACATAACACCGGCTTGTGTTTGATTGAGTTGGTTTGTCGGGGCCTAGATGAGAAGAGGGATGGGGAGAGGTCGGGTCTGTCAACACGAAGATTCCACAGTCCAAAGAGAACTGTTGAAAGGAGTGAACTCGTAACAATTAGCCCATAGACAGGAATCCAAACACTTAACTTTTCTGCAGAATGTACACAAATCTTGAGATATTCAGTTCCGAATGTGGCAACAACCTTGAACTTGTATTGCTATAACGTTAAAGGTGCCATTATGTATCTCAAGTATGTAGGATTCGAACCCATGACTTTCTTCTTACTATAGTACATACGTCTTTACCAGTCGAGCACGGAATTTTTATTTATTAATTAATTTTTGGGAGGCCTACTGTGGTAGTGCAAGATCAGTTGTACATGTACATACAAAATTTGCACTCTGTGACAATACCATGGATGCATTTCCTGAGATATATTGAATCTTTTGCCTTCGGCTTATGTTTAAGCAGAAGTTAGCTAGAGTACATGTTTTCCATTACAATGTGCAAGTGCATGTTCTACGTGGGAACAGGAAGCGATTGTTTCACAGGTATCGTAAAATATTAGTGAGACAGCCTGTTCAAGTTTTAAATTACGTACATGTAAGCGTCAAGCACCTTAAGTGTTTAGACTTTGACCGTCATGGAGCTTATGCAGTGCAAACTGCACATTTTGTAAATATGCACTTGTGCAGTAAATTCTTGTATATTATATCAAACCATCTTCACACCAACTCAAGACAGGCAACTTTATTCACTTGCCAGGCTTGGTAATTAAGGTAAGCTTTACAATGTTCATGCACGGTTGGATCTATCATTCTACAGTTTCTTGTAATTGCTATTACAAGCCCCGCTCTGGTTTCAGATTGATTCATGGCTTTGTACTGAATTGTTTCTGTTGTGTTTAAATTAAAACGCATATATCTAGTTAATATGAATGCTGTTGGCTGAGATTTTAATTACGGGGTGAAGTTTCTTACGCTTCATCAAAAATACATACTGGGACCTGTACATGCGTATGATGCGTCAGTATTAAACCCCAATGATTGAAACACTAACTTTGGACGTGATCTCTTTACATTATTATAGAAGTCCAAGAAATCAGAATGAGCAAGAGGGTAGCTGTCATCGGTGCTGGTATCAGTGGAATAGCAGCCATCAAATGCTGCCTGGATGAGGGCCTCCAGGTCACTTGCTTTGAGAGATCAGACCGAATCGGTGGGCTCTGGGCTTACAGGGAGGACCGAGATGGCCAGGGCTGCGTGTTTAAGTCCACTATCATCAACACCAGCAAAGAGATGACGTGCTACAGCGACTACCCTATCCCAAAGGAATATCCAAATTACATGCATCACTCCTACATCGAGAAGTACTTCCTGAGCTACGTGGACCACTTCGATCTGAAACGGCACATCCAGTTTCGCACCGAAGTCCAGAAAGTCGCTCAGGCTGCCGATTATGACACGACGGGGCGGTGGCAAGTCACCACGAAGAATCGCGACAGCAGCGAGTGCACCACCGATCTCTTCGATGCTGTGATGATCTGCACCGGTCATCACACAACCCCTCACATCCCTGACTTTCCAGGTCTCAAGGACTTCCAAGGAACAGTAACCCACACTCACGAATACAAAACGCCCTACCATTTGATCGACAAGCGAGTTGTCGTCATCGGTATCGGTAACTCCGGAGGGGATGCAGCAGTTGAACTAAGTCGTATCTCGTCCAAGGTACGTTTTCGTGTATTTCCTAATGTCCTTTATAAGGTTTCTTTTGTACTTCTTGATTTAAGTACCAGTACTGCCCATGTATGCTTACCTAATGAACAAACGATAGTACTTTTTAGGCGTTTTAGATCTCAGACGAACTATTTTGAAGATGGTAAACAAAATTTTATCAGATCGACATGTTTGAATAAAGAACAGCTTTATACATGCATGTTGCTCGAGTCATAGCTAAAGGTTTTCGGTCGTCTGGTCTGTATTAGGAGTACCATTGAGTTCGCTAGATGACCGGAGATCCAAAACAGCCTGTCGGAAAGGAAAGCACCACTTCTTCATTAAAGTTGCATGTGAAAATGCCATGAGAATATTTCATTGCCTCCAACGCAAGCTTCAAAAATATTCTTCTGGTACATGAAGCAGTCATGGCACATGCAGTAAGCAACATATCCCTACGTATTTATGCATCGGTACAGTCTGCAGGCAAATCATTGAGTGGTATCAAACCGTTGTGCGTCTACCTTCAGCTTTATAAAGAATGCGTACGTTTACATTAGGTATGTGCATGTAATCATGATTTATGTGATTACGTAATGACCATGGAACACAGTACGTGCCAGGTTTCACTGACTCCCATAAACGGGAGTTTATGGGAATTTTTTGGGCTGCACCTGAAGTTATAAAAGTTTTTGATTTGTGTTCCGCCAACTGAAATTCCCTTCCCTTTTACTCTCGCATCAAAACCTGGGATTCGAGGGAGAAGCATGTTATAGCTTTGTTCAGCTTGCTTTCCACTCTGCATCTGAGAAAAGGCAATTTCTGCTCGTTCACAGGTCTAGGAGTAGAGGAAGTGCCAAAATAACTACTTTTCATTTTTTAGATGGGTATATATGCGGTTTCTTCTGAAAGTTTCATGTCTCTCTTGATAGTATCCAATATACCACTGTGTTTTTGAATTGCAGGTTTTTCTTAGTACAAGGACTGGAGCTTGGATTTTCAATCGTGTGAATCTTCTAGGCAATCCATTTGATATTGTGTTCACGAGGCGATGCATTGACGCCCTTCCTCTCACTTTGAAAAACGCAATCACAAAGCGGCAGATGCAAATTAATTTTGACCATTCCAAGTATGGAATGCGGCCTAAGCACAACCCATTCCAGGCCCATCCCCTTGTCAGTGACGACCTTCCAAATCGAATCCTGAGTGGCACTGTTACTCTCAAGCCCAATGTAGCCCGCTTCACCAAAACTGGGGTCGAGTTCGTGGATGGGACATTTGAGGATGACATCGACTGTGTGATTCTTGCCACGGGATACACATTCAGCTTTCCCTTCGTGGACTGCCCTTCGTTCCAAGTGGTCAAGAATGACGTGTCATTGTACAAGTATGTCTTTCCCACTGACCTCAAACACCCAACGATATGTACCATTGGCTTGGTTCAGCCTATTGGAGCTATCCATCCTGCCTCTGAGCTCCAGTGTCGTTGGGCTGCACGCATCTTCAACGGCCAAGCGCGTCTGCCGCCCCGCCCAGAGATGGAAGCCTCCGTCAAGAAGGCCAAAGATGACATGAGCAAGCGTTACATCAAATCTCAACGTCACACCATACAAGTGGACTGGATCAAGTACATGGACAGCATCGCTGTTGAGATAGGAGTCAAGCCGGATTTATGGAAGTTGTTCTGGTCGGATCCAGCCCTGGCACTCCGCTGCTTCTTTGGTCCTTGTTTACCCTACCAGTACCGCCTGATGGGACCTGGGAAGTGGAATGGAGCAAAGGATGCTATCAACACCATGTGGGAGAGAGTCGATGCACCACTGAAGACGCGCCTCCCAGCTGTCCGAGAGGATAGGTCGGGGGCCGCAATTATACTACTGTGGTTGGGTTTGGCTTTCCTTCTCATATATCTTGTTATACTCATTGTCTTGTAAAACTGGAACATTGTGGCTGAGATCGAAACTTTCCCACAAGACTCCTGTTTAAGTCAATAGAATAACTCATCAAAAATTTTCCACAGAAGCATACATAACACGAATAAGTATAGAATTAGTGAAAGTATTAATTGTTACTTAGGGGGGCCTTGTATATGAGTGTGCTGGTGTGTGTACTTATAGAATTACTGGCATTTTATTATATTTACACGAGTGGGTATATGCAAGTCAAAAGAATCGAGGAATTGCAATAAGAAATCCGAGTTTGGTTAGAAGTGCGCAGTGGGAGTTTATCTGCTCACATTACACTATGGTAGAACACATGTGTTTGGATTCTGTGGTAATCTGACTTAAAATGCATAGAAATGATAGAATAGTAGCAATCTTATATTCTTGTAAACATGGTAGAAACATTAATAATTCATCAACTTTCTAGGGAATGAAAACCATGAGGATAAACTTGTCAGAAATGTTGAAACATTCTCTTTTGAGGCTGTATAGGGCTTCTGTAAATCTGTCAAAACATCCCAGAAGTCAAAACTGCCCTGCGGCTTCTACCTTGTAAAACCTGTTGCCTATAAGACGTAGGAAATGGGAAATTCAAAATAGGAATAAAGTGTGATACACTTTGTACATATACATGTATGTATCCTCAAGCTCCTCAAATCTATCCTCAAATCTGTTTCGGCTTTGGTAAAAATGTAGAAGGTGGGTTTAAAATAGCTGGTGGTTTAAATGTACAAGTGGTGTAGAAGAACTAGCTGGCGATTTAAAAGTAGCTTGCAGCTAAAGAGTAGCTGGTAATCAACAAATAGCTGATTGT